CACCCTCCTCCATATGCACAATCCCATCGCTCCACATCAGAAAGCAGGAGGGCATCCCGATGGGAACCCTCAAATACACCCCCTTCTGCCCCAAAAGAACCCCCCGAAACCCTTCCAAATTGTATTTACACACGCACAAAATAAAAGAAAATAAAATAAAATCCATGCACCACCGTCACCAACGGCATCTTCGGGATTTCTTTGTCCTCGACAACGGTGTGTTGCTCTCGGACACTGCGAGGGAAAAAAAAGTCATTGTGCAAAGAAGGGGGGGAGAGGGGGGAAGGAAAAAAAAAATCACTTTTATGCCCCGTGCCTGGGAGTTGAACTTGTTTTTCCTTAAGCAGGAATTTAAAGGACTTGACTTTGCATTTGTGCTTTGTAGGTATAAGGTATCCTTGACTCATGGAAACGCAGCTCCTTTCTCGGCGGAATTCCTGGATTCATTCATTTTTGTTTATTTAATTATATATTTTTTTTTTTAAAAAAAAAAAAAAAAAAAAAAAAAGGCAAAAAAATTTTTCTCAAAAAAAAAAAAAAAAAAAAAAAAAAAAAAAAAGATTAACTACAACCGGAAAACAGCGAAAGGGCATCTGGAGCCAAACTGAGGGTGGGATGACTGGGCCAAGAAAAATCCTATAAATTTCAGTTCGCTGCCGAATCCAATGGATTCCCCCCCAAAACCTGGGCTCCAAGGTGGAGGGTTGAGGTTCACACCAGTCCTCCCAGAGCAGATCGCAGCCAGCCCCCATGAATATGGATGGTGATATTTCTGATATGCGTTCAGGTATTGGAACTCCTGGAGAAGAAAACCCCACACCACAATGACCGCAAAGAGGCTTTTAAGAGGGGAAATTCTAATAAAATGGTCAAATAAAATCATAATGTAGAACAGCTTGCAATGTCTTTATTTGCCACAGAATTTCACAGAGTATCCCGGGGACTCACTTTACATACACAAAGAGGGGTCTTTTTTTTTTTTAATTATGATTTTTTTCAGGATTTTTTTTTTGTGTTGTTCCTCGTCTCCCATTTCCAGGAAAAAAAAAAAAAAAAAATAAAGAGCACTACGAAATTTATTTACAAACCATTTCTTTCAGAGACAGTTATTGCAAATGTGTTTTCTCCTGGATTTCCCCCCTTTCCCGACTCCAAATGGGAAAATGATACCGCAGAGAATATATATATGGATATATAGGCACAACCTCCCCTATCTATATATGCATATATATATTTTTAGATAGAAAGGGTGGATGGAGGAGGTGGAAACAATGATCTTCCTTCGGACACAGATGAGCGGGGTGGGTGTGAGTGTGCACACACACATTAGGAGGGCACACATGCCTGTGTGTGTGCTCGCACACACACACACGCACACACACACACACGCACACACACACACACGCACACACACACACACGCACACACACACACACACTCACCCCAGATGAAGTGATTTGATCCTACAGGGAGACTTTGGCCGCTCTTGTGATAACACAGCTGCATACTGCAATCACCGGGGTAGTTACACACAGTACTGCCATTTATTCAACTGGACAGGGTCAAAAAGAAAAAAAAAAAGAGAAAAAAGAAGGCTAATACATTGTTAATAATAATAATAATAATAACAACAATAAAAATAATAATAATAAAAAAAAAGGGAATCCCAACCTGTTCAGGAAAAAAAAAAAAAAAAGAGAAAAAAAAAGTTAAATAAAATGTTCGTGGAATCCAAGTCCTTGAAGCGGGAACTGAAAGAAAATCTCACTCCTTTTGTTACTCAGCACTGTCCCAGACATAGAGATAAAAGTAACGAAAAGGCTTAAACTTTGAGGTTGCTTTGTCGACTCAAAGGGCAGACCCGTGCTCGCAACTGTTCCTCTCGATACACATACACTTCGCCAGCAGAGGGGATTGCAAAAGATGTTCACAACAAGGGATTTCCAGAGAAATACTGCAGGCGGTCTCTGCTTAATTTTTTTTCTTTCATTCTTCTGTTCTGAAACCAAATTTTAACCTGTCGGTCAGTGAGATTTAACATCCTAGACAACTGGAGCCTCTTTTCTTTGTTTATATAGACATTGAAGAAAAATTCTCTCTCTAGCTCTCTGATCTGGAATTTCGAGTAGGGGCATCTCTTCTTCCTCGTTCTGGGAGCACCTTAAAAGAACCAGAAGGCAGGGTAAACATCCTAAGGAAACACAAGACACAGACCCATCTTCCCAGAGAGATTGGAGCCGATAATAACTTCAGTTATTAATGCGGGGGGGGAGATATCTTCCAGCAGTTCGCCTATTGTTAGGGGTAGCAGAGGTGAGGTTGCACAGGGTCTTAAGGACCGTGGTGGAATTATTTTCCCACTGCACGGGGCTTAACGCAGGCACACGCAGCCATTTTTTCAGTGCAGATAGGATATTTTTTAAAAAATAAAATGAAATAAAATAAAGAACAGCCTGGGAGAGGAGGCAGGAGGCTGCTGGAGCAGGGTTTAGAGAGGCTGGGAAAAAAACCTAACCAACCCACCCCCAAACCCCACGCTCAGCTGCAAATCTGTTATCTGTATAGAAACAGCATGAGCAAGGTTGGAATTAGAGGAACTAGATATTATGTTCCGCATAAGTTTTTGATTAACTCCAGTCCTCGCCACACACGCAAAAAGGAATCAAAGTAAAAAGAGAACTTCGCATCTGAGCTGCAAAAGGGGACTCGCATCACGAAAGCGAAGAGGGAGACAAAACAACCCTCCCCTCTTCCCAAAAGAGCCCCACGCTCAACGCGAACTTGCAAAGTTGCCTGGATTCAGCCTTTTTTTTTTAAAAAAAAAAAAAAAAAAAAAAAAAAGCTCTTCTAAGGCTGCCTAGAAAAAATGTGAATGCAAGCAAAAAAAAAAAAATAAAATAACACCACCCCAGAAGACCCAAGCAAACAACCACGTAAGTAAAAGCCCTTCCTGACAAAAGCTGGACGCTCCACCAGGCTTGGAAGAGAATAAATGCCACTTTAAAGAGCAAAGTCGAAGAAAATGCTCAGCTTTGCCTGCAAATTCGGCAGATTCCACCCACCCCACCCCCCCGCCTTAGCGCTGCACCCCCACCAGGAGAAAAGGCTCGACACACAGTTTTAATTAAAATAATAATAATAAATGAATAAAAAAGCCCCCCAAAAAAAAAAAAAAAAAAAAAAAGCTCTTCTAAGGCTGCCTAGAAAAAATGTGAATGCAAGCAAAAAAAAAAAATATAAAATAACACCACCCCAGAAGACCCAAGCAAACAACCACGTAAGTAAAAGCCCTTCCTGACAAAAGCTGGACGCTCCACCAGGCTTGGAAGAGAATAAATGCCACTTTAAAGAGCAAAGTCGAAGAAAATGCTCAGCTTTGCCTGCAAATTCGGCAGATTCCACCCACCCCACCCCCCCGCCTTAGCGCTGCACCCCCACCAGGAGAAAAGGCTCGACACACAGTTTTAATTAAAATAATAATAATAAATGAATAAAAAAGCCCCCCCCCCCAACATTTTGCATGCATCCTAATGCCTAAAAGAAAAGCACAGGCAGCTGAAGTAGTGTTCTGCCCAATTGCCTTTTACCCTCAGCAACCCGGGACCAAATCCTTTTAAAATGCCCGTGTAAGTTCATGATCAAAGTTAATATTTGTCACGATGGTGTGCTTTTAAAATTTCACAGACTCTAAGATACTGTGTCTGCGCCTAACATCTCCATTTTTTTCAAAGAGCTTTTCCCATCGTAAAAATTCTTCTCGTTGGAAGAAAGAGCTTTGTAGGTTATAATAAAATCCTTTGAATGCTTATAAAACTCCACATAAAATTTGACCGACAAAACACACGGGCTAGTCCCTTAACCTTTCCATTTACTGCTCTACCTACTCGAATTGCTGCTTTTGCTTCCTTCCTTGGTGACAGAAGAGGACGAGGCTGAAGAGCCTGGGTTTGTGTTTTCCTCCTCATCTTCCGGGTCTAGCCCTTGCTCTCCGCGGGATGACAGTGCGTGGGGTTGGGACTCTGCCTCCACTTTGCCCTCACCCTTCTGCAGGCAGGTCTCGGGTGGGTTTTCCCCCCCGCAATAGGCGTTTTCGAAGAAGCGGTCGAAACCTTGGGGCAGGACAGTGTTTTTGTTCATGCTGGTGTAGAATCCCGTCGACGCCGGGTGGTTGGAGCTGGGGTGGTGGTGGTGGCTGTACACGCTCTCGTTTTTCATTAGCATTTCGGTCATGGTGGAAGGCGGGATGCACTCTCTATGCATCAGATCTTCTGCGGAATAACACGAGGCGTAATTGCTTCGGTGGTGCCATTTACTCGAGGGGTCTAAGCCATAGGAGACCTCTCGCACGGGCTGCACTTGCGAGAGGTTGGCGGAGTAAGGGTAGGAGATTTGGCGAGAGGGGGCCTGTGGCAAGAAAGATGACACAGTTGAAAATTCGGGGACGTAATAGGTACAGCTGGGGAGGTAGAGATTAGAAGCGCAACCTGCCCTTTCTCCAAACTCAGCGCTCCTCTCCTTACGCGACTGGGAGCAGAAGTTGCCCAGGTTCACCGAGTTAAACATCTTTCTTTCTCCTTTTCTCGCTCCTATAGCTCGATGTTTTGGATCCGAGGCGCGGAGGGGAAAAAATTTGGGAAGGCGAGATGACGCGCTATCCGTCTTAGTCGCTCCGGCGGGCACGTGATCCAAAGTAGATATTGTCATATATCAGTTTGGAGCACTTAGATGCGTAGGAGTGGTTCACTTAGGTAAGATCTCAGAGGTTCAAACGATTGGTTTGCAAACACCGCAGAAACATTATGAAAATCAATTGCAGATTTGTATTCATTTTCCCGAAGGCACACCCCTCGCCAGCCTTCGCAGCAGAACAAGTACAAGGGGTGGCTTGTGAAGTTCCTGCTTTTTTTTTTTCCTCCCCTCTCTCCTTCCTCGCTTTTTTTTTCCTCCCTCCTTCCTTGCCTTTTTTTTTTTTCTTCTTCTTTTTTTTCTTCTTTTTTTTTTCTTCTTTTTTTTTTCTTCTTCTTTTTCTTCTTCTTCTTCTTCTTCTTTTTTCTTCCTCTTTTCCCTTTTCTTCCTCTTTTTCTTTTTTTTTTTCTTTTTCTTCCTCTTTTTTTTTTTTTTTTTTTTTTTTTAAAAAAAAAAAAAAAAAAAAAAAAAAAAAAAAAAAAAAAAAAAAAAAAAAGTTCTAGGAAAAATATTAAACCC